TCTTTCCCTTCCCACTCACCAATCCACCATGCTATTTCACATGATCCTCCAGCTGTCAAAAGTTAATGCCAGCATCTTCAGGGGGATCTGGAGTAATGGAGGACAGAAACTACCCATGACATGCGAGTAACGCAGATTACAGGACAAGGCGCCCACAAAATATTTTGTCCATTACTTTTCCTCACACAGTATGAGACAGAGCAGAGACTGTGGCCGCAGATGTCTCTGGGCAGACAGTCTCACAGACACAAGAAAAAAGGGTTTCCTCCTTCCACGCTAAAGAACCCCAGTGCACATTGCCAAACTAAGCCTCAGAGAAGCCCCATGAGATCAATCTGCCCCTGAACCCCACTGGGGAAGAGGAGGCATAGAAAAGCAATATAACCTTGATCATTGCCACTTCAGGGCAGCCTCTGAGGCTGAATGACTCACACGAGGTCTAAATGCTGTCTTCTATAGGACCAGTCTCAAATATTCAGAGGGTATCTGGGCATCGAATACCCACTAGTTCTGATAGGTTATGTATCTAGCTGTATTTTAAGGATTTGTATGACCTTTTCTCCCTCCCCTAGAATTTACCAACCTCAGTTAGCATTAGCTGTGTTAACATTTCAATGAACCATTGTTTCTCTGTTGCTTTTTCAACACAGGAGATCATTCCCTGGAGTAGCAAGGCAAAGATGTTGTGTGGGAAGGTCACACAGTTGGTTTTCCATGGCTGGCATACAGGATTCTTGTTCCCATTGCAATTGCAAGTAAGGGAGCACTTTGGTGTTTTGTTTGTTTGGGGTTTTTTCCTCCTTTTAACATTGTTGCAAAGTTATTTACGTGACAGTGTTTGTTATTTTACCTGAAGTAACAATCAAATCTGATTCAAAGGGAAGATGCACAATAAAGACGGGAAAAGGTCAGCTTGCTGAATAACATTAAAGACATTTGTCAGAGTCAAGGAGGACTCGATCTGCCGTTATCAACCCACTTCAGACTTAATTCTGCGGGAGGGGTGGGGGGAGAAAAGGTCTTTGTCAATTCTTGCTTTGGCTTTTTGGATCAATTCTCCCAGTGGGAAAGCAATGTGCAGCTAGAGGAAGCTGCTTTAATGACAACAGCAGAAGCCTTAGAGGCAGCAAGGCGGTCTGGAGGCAGAGCCAGTGCTCCTGCCTGCTACTGGAAAGAGTCATCTCACATCCCCCTGCCACCATCACAGAGACAGGCAGCCTGTTTAGTGTTAATAGACAGTAAAATCTTTACCTTGTAATGGCTTCCAAGCGCAAAAGACTTTCACCTCAGAGACAGGTGCCAGGAGAGCATTTAGCACTGGGCAGAAGATGTGGTTTGCCTGGCCCCCACCTCACCTATGTGCTCAGCTCACAGAGGCACCTCAGTTGTTTCCTGGGACTTGAAAGGACTTGTGCCAGAGAAAAGCAAATGCATTTTTCATCACCTGCGAGTAGTCTGGTACCATAGCATGCAGTCCTGCCCAGCATCTGTAGCACAGACTTACAAAGAAATTGCTTTTATGCCTCTTTAAACAGCTAGATAAACAACATTGCCTTTGAGGATTCTTCAGCTTGGAAAATAAGCCACTGAAGGGGAGACTGGGCAGAAATCCATCACACCAGGACAGCTCAGGAGAAGAATGATTCTTCATCCTTTTCCATTAACACAGAAAAGGGCATATTTTAAAAGTATCATGCAGAAGATTTAAACCACTAAGACTCCCAGGAGAGTTATTTTACTGTTTGCATTTACATCAGACCTTACAGAAATGCTGTCACCACTAAGTTTCTCCACTAGAGAGGTTCCGAGTTTCCCAAGAACCCAGAGCAAGGCCAAGGAGACTGCTGTCCAGGACAAGCCCCATGGTGTGCTTGTGTCTATGCCAAGAGGGCTATGGCCAGGTGAATCCCCTAACCTCCAAGATGGGATCAAAGGTTGAAACCAGGAATCATGAAGAGCTTGTGCCTACCTTTTTTACCCAGCAATGAGACACCAAAGAAACATGAATGCATGAAGGAGACGGATAGAGAAATGAAAATATCTACTGGTGAGCACACAGGTGTAAAGCCAGGCTTTTCCAGGGCTTGATGACACACACCAGAGTTAACAAGCTTGTTTCCACAGTGCCTGGCCATGCTGTCCTGCCAAGGCTGTGACAAACTCATTGGTAAAAGCCACCAGTGTTAAGTTACCATTTACCAATGAACTATTTTATCCATTAGTTATAAAATGCAACACAAACTGCATGAAGAAGAGTTGAAACAAAAGGAAAAACAAAAAAAGAGGAAAAAAAAAAGGGGAGGGGGGAAAAAGGGGAAGCAAAGCACTCCTGCATGGTGGGTCCAAACTTTGACTGTCAGTCCCTGAGTAAGTTTGCCAAGTCAGTCCCTGTCGGAGCAGAAATGCACCCTCCTGCACTGAGAAAATTTCCCACTCAGCTTCTCATTTTCAGGCTGGAGTGCTCCAAGAGGGATATAACCTGGTAGCAATCACATCTTACCAGCTTGTGCAAGTAACAATTTGCACAGGTGGCAGAAGGTGTGCAGGAAGAGCCATGCCAAAGCACCCTTAACACTGGGGTTACTTAGTTCCTGAGCTGAGTACCCTCAAAGCTGTTTCAGTCCAAAGGAGCCACAGTGCTTGGACAATGCAAACAGCAGAGATTACAAGTCTGATTTGGTCAAAAAATATTAAATGAATCTGCAGGAAAATACTGATGCTCTGTGTCCCACATCTCCCAACAGAAGGCAGCCAGAAAGACCTTGAGCTCGCAGCGGTGGCATGGCCTTCCTCAGGTATTTTCTCCCATGATTCCAGGGACAAATGTCAGCATAGCAGCAGAGCAAGGCCAGCAAGGAGCTGCTCTGCAGCAGGCAAGCAGCTCTGGGACAGAGCAGGGGGCACTGAGGAGATGGGACTCAGTCCTGCATGCCAGCCACAGCCGGCCGCCTCTGCCTCTGCAGCAGCACTCAGTACAGGTGACATTTACACAGACCAAAGCAGGCCCTGAGTCTGTCCATCAGGTAATGTGAGGTGACAAGCTATGCCAGGGATCCAGCCGGCTGCGGTGGAGCCCCGCGGAGCAGAGGGCAGCCCTGCGTCGGAAGCGAGGGCTCTGTGGCTGGCACAGCCCCTGCCCGTGAGTGCCAAACAGGCTCCCAGACTGACCAGGTCCTCCACGTCTGCTGGGGAAGGTCGGCTGAGACCCTGCATACAGCATCAGGGCTTGCTACTGCTTTTAACCACTTACTCCAGATTCAAGACCAACTTACTTCTGATCCACAAATGGGGCTGTTTGTGTCCTTCTCTTCTGTCTCCCCCCTCTACATTAATGCTTGGACATTTCAGGGAAGCCTGATACTGTATTTATTTCTGCCCTGGAGGAGCAGAGGAAAAGAGGACAAGGGGGAGCTGCCCTGTGTAGCTTCTTTGACGTCTCCACTGCAAACACGCAGCATACAGAGAACTCGGTGCCTCAATCAACCTCCACAAGCTCTCTTGTGCAGGAGCACACACAGCCCAGCCTCCTCTTCGTAAGTACCAAAGTCTGCAAAGAAGAAACCTGCTTCTGGGTGCTTTGCTCTTTCAAACTGCCTCTACAAATGTACCACATCACTTGCTGCAGACAGCAGCCGTGTGTTGGAAGTGTGCTCACAGACACAACATCCGTCCTGTTGCTTTAGCACTCAGAATGAAGATCCTGTCTAATAATCATTTTGCTGACATTAGAAAGAATAATGAGAGAAGACCCTAAGAAATACTTGGTTCTCAAGCCCTCAAGGACATCAGCATTACCTTCACGCAGGTAAGGCATTACCAGCCACTGAAGTAGAGGATACAAAGCTATGATACCTTGCTTCCACCTGTGTTTCATCTCCACCTTAGCAAAATTATAGTCCAGGGATGGGAAACTTACATGAATAGCCTCATAGAATCAGGAATAGAACACCACTGGCTACATCACAGCAGATGCACAGGTGTTTGACAGATGCACCTGCAGAGCACAAGTTCCAGGTCCGCTACACCAGTGCTAAACAGCCAGGTCTGGGCTAACATGGCTAAGCTGGTCCAGGACCTACATCAGCTCAATAAAGGCAGATTGGATACCTTTCTTTTTAATGTTAGACAGAATCAAAAGCTGGAACTTTTCAACTAGTTAAAACCATACTCATGCTTCTGAGGCCTCAGATATACATGGAAGGGGTTCATATCATTTGCATGAGCAATTAAAGTTGTCCTGCCTGACACACAACTAGCAAAACCTCGCAGATACTTCATCCTCCGCAGATCAGAGAGCACCAAGAAGTGGGAAGAGACATGCGGAGAAGCGCTGATTTCAGGAGAGGAGCACGGGTGTGTGTGGGAGGTACAGCTTGGCAGGCAGCTCGTCCTTGGGGATGACCTTCAAGGGGAAGTACCTGTGAGAAACACTCCTGAAACTGGAAGTAGTTATGCAGCAGGGAACCCACGTTAACTGGAATCAAAGTTTCACTGCGATGTCTGCAGAAGTAGTTTTTATTTAATAGATGGAAGCTAAACTGAATAACTGTACCCTTTCTGGTGGTATTTTTAACTGTCCAAGCAGATTTCCACAGGCAGTAACAGATTGCCACACTAATATCCTACAGAAAGGTTATTGTTTTCACCTTGCTTTTAAGGTCCAGTAACCTTTGTGCTTCCATCTTCCTGCTCAACTCAAAGTCAATAAATAATGCAGCCTTCCCCTGCAGCTAACACATAGAGGAGCAAAAGTTTTTGGAGGTGTGCTGGCACACACATGAGCAGGGGCTTCTACGACAGGGATCTGCACAGGGCAGGAGAAAGTTTCCCTCAGTTCTCTGGGCGGTGGGAAGAGCTGCTCCTTTTCCTCTCATGTAATGTTCCTGTGCCACTCTTGCAAACAGGGCCCACCCAAAACCTGGCCCATAAGGACCCATGTGCTGGAAGTACACCAGACTTTCACCTGCCCGGGTGCAGGCTCAGCATCAGATGCTATTTTGAGGTCTTGGTCTGATTTGACTGAAATAGTGGGTCAATAGCTTTAAGATGTCCAAGGACATTTGGACAAGACACACCTGCAGTGTAACCACATATTCTTCTCCAGTTAGTACCCTAAAAAGGTACCACAGTAACACACAAGAGTTGGATAAAGTTTCTCATCTCCAAAGAAATAAAAGTTGCTGAATATTAGACTTGAAGGGTTTTTCATGATTGTCTGATCAGATTTCCCACCTGGCCAGCAAGATTCCCAGCACAGCATCCACCAGGGGAAAAAAAAAAAAAAAACAAACCATGCACAAATTCCTACAGTGGTCTTTAAACTCCTTGGAGAGGCTACAGGTCCCTATAAGAAAGGATCCCACTGGTTGCAGGGCCTGTAGCTGCCCCAGGCAATTGCAGGCAAGTGTCTCACACCTTTAAAAAACAAAACAAACAAACAAACAAAAAAAACCCACCTAAGTAAAAATCCATATTTCAGTAGCTACAGGAGTTGCCCAGTCGCTGAATTTTCTCACACCTTTGCTAGGTCAAAGAGCTCTCTCTTTTCCATCTTCACATACTTCAGTTACAGGTTCTGACATGGCAAGCTATGACACCCAGGGAAAAAGCATCCTGCCGGTCACAAAACCTGAGACCATTACAGGCAAAAAAAGCACCAGCCAGTAAGGCAGCCCCACTCCAGACACAGCTGGGTTTTCTCTCCTTATCCCCCAAACGACCTGGCCTAACCCTGCTTTGCTTGGGAGAGCTGACAAGATTGAAGCCAGAGGTGGTGTGGCCACAGGCCAAGTTACATGAGTACTAATAAAAGAGACTTTGTGGAGGAGCCAAGTTAGCTCTTGTCCCCAGCCAACAGTGCCAGAAAGCGCTCAGAGAGAGGACAGCCAGTACAGCATCTTTCCTTGCCCTGGGAGCTGAGCTTCAGCTGAAATGCATCTTTCTGGACAATAAAAACTACATTTTGAAGCCTGCCCTTTGTTCCTATAGCCCAGGCTGTGAAGGCAAAGCCATCTGCCTTTGTGCACATCTCCTGCTTTAGATACCTAAGGGTGACTCATCTGAACACTTGCCCTGCTACTCTACAAACTCACTTTAGATTCTGACTGTCCTTTTCTCAAATCATGTGCTTATTACCAGTTTGTGTATGTACATTCTCAAATTTGATGGTATTATTCAGATATTTAAGACCAAAGTGACAGTTATACACACCATCAAAAATGTCTTCCTTATTTCTAACCCGAATGAAGATAAAATTAAGCTAAAGCATGTGTAACAGTTACTTGAATGCAAAAGAAAAAAAAGAAAGCAAATACATGCCTTTTTTTTTCCTCTTATACTCAAAATTAATCCCAGATCTGAAGGAAAACTGAATATAGTAAGATCTAGACATGCCAAACAGCAGCAGCAACATCACCTTAACTACCCTGCAGCAACAAGGTGCAAGAACAATGAATGCAACAAGCTGACAGCCTAGTGTGGACACTGCACTTTTCCACTGTCTTGATGTCCCCCTTCATAATGCCAGCACAAGCAGGACCAGAAACATTTTCATAGCTGTTTTAAGGAAAGGGGGAGCAGCAAAGCCCATGAATATATCATGGGCCTGATGGAGGTACAGGCTGCCTGCACAGGCTTTGTGGCGAGGACCCCAAAGCAGTAGGAAGCTTGCTACACACCTCCCCTCATCAATGGTCACCATGATTTATCCTGCTTCAACCCTCTCAAAGCCTGACTGTCCTCTTGCATAGCCCATAGGCCCCTAAAGTTGTCTGGCCAGAGCAGCAACTGCCTTCTAAAGCAGTCAGAAATCTCTCTCTGCAGACCCAACAGCCCAAGGACAGGCAGCCCTCACACCACCTGCAGGTCCCCAGCCCCACCAAGCTGCCAGAGAGACTGCTTTAAATCAGCCCAAACAAAACTTGGCCAACGCTTTTCCATCTCTGTCAATAATTCACCTGCAGAAAACACTTCTTCCTAAGCCAAATCAGAAGCAGGTTAAAACTCCAGTTAAATATACTTCTAAATGAAAGTTTAAGTTCCATTATAGTGAACTTTGGGCTGGAGAACAGTCCCTTCCGATTTATTGGTGGAGCAGAAATACCTCTGCTCCTACTACCAATTTCCTCCCCTAGAAATCTCCCAAATGCTCTGCTGCATGCTGTGACCCCTGCCTGTACAGGGATCTGTGCCCTATTCCTATAAAAATGAGCCTGAACATCACTTTTCTTTTGCTTCCTTGCAAATTTGTAATACTCAACAAACTAAACACAAATAACACTTTCATTGTTTCATTTTTATTGCAGCAATAGGAGAGAGTTTGGCTTGTCTTTGCCTGTTCCTTAGAAACACCAGTGAGCAATAGATTCTTCCAACGAGTCATCTCTTTTCTACAGAAACTGCCTAAAAAGGTATTTTGGAAAGTCAAGTGCTTGTGAAACTTGGGGATGACTTGATGCAATACCAATGACTTTTCTGGAGTTGGAGAATTACCAGAGGTGAGCATTTGGTTAAAAATACACACACAGCGGGAGCATCCCATGTGCGATTCAACTTCTGCATAGACCTCTTTTCTAGCAGAGAAATAGCAGGTTTCTTGTGATGTATACAGTCTGGGGGCTTCCAAAGCAAGTCCTGGAGGCATTTACCTACCCTAAAGGGCTAGGAACAACTTGAGGAGTTTTCCAGAGAAACTAAGACTTTGCACATCCATAAACCAAAATGCACTTTAACTTCCTTGGAGCAGCACCAACGATGCTGTCAGCAGCCAAAACACGGGTGCTCCCAGTCCCTTGAAGCCAAGCACTCTGACCTGCCTGCTCCCTGTATCAGTTGCGGAGCCCCTACAGCTCCTCAACCCATTCCACTTGCACATCCCCCATGTTAGGACAAGAGGAATAACTTCAGAAAAAATAATGAACAAGCCCCAGTTAATTGCAAAGCCCATTTCCCAAGAGCAGTTCTGGTTTCTGCAACTGGGGTTCACTCACGGCTGGTGTGTGCAGGGGGACTGCAGCTCACAGCCACACAGACACAGCCCGTCGCAGACCATTGTCTCACCGTGCAGCCTCATTTGACTAATCTGACAAAGCTTCATACAATTACGGTGGTATCTGTGTCACAAAGGCAGGAGACAGCCCCTGGGCAAGGAAAGAGCCGGCCCTAGATATTCTTGGGGGCTCTTTTATGTTTTAAAAGTATTATTTTCCTCCAATGACTTAATAAGAATGCAACTGGAAAGATACTTAGTTGGTCTAGTCTTTCAATTCATAGATTCAGTCCATCATATACAAACACATGCATCTCTCAAATGGCATATACTAAACTTTAGAGCAGAGTCATGGTTTGACTCAAGCCTGCATTATTTCAGGCAGCTTGGCTTGGCTGTGTTGAAGTTCACAGCACATACAATCACAGGACAGTTTCAGTCATGAGCATACAGGCATCACAGGTTACAGCTACATACAAGCTAGGTTAAACATGTTTTTAAATTCCCTTTAACTCCCCCATACTCCTACTGTGGGATCTGTTCCTCCACCTAACCCAGAAGGCATAGATTGCAAATCAAGTGAAGTACTTACTGCCAAAGCCCGCAGGAAACTTAATGAAGTGAGGATAATTCCCATACATGTTTAATCTTCAGTTCATCGCTTGCCTTTCTAAACACAACTGCCTCCTCTAACTTCAAAGCTGCCTGGAGTGCAGCGCAGCCCGCTGGGGTCGGGACATGGCTCTGCAGGAGCAGGGGCTCTTGGAGGGTGCCAGGGCAGCTGCCTGCTCCCGTGGCCTCATCCTTGCTTCACGCTGGCAGCAGCTGCTCGCCGGGATGAGACATGCTCTTGTTCGCTGCCACTCAGGGCTGGCTCCTGTGCTCAGCTGTCTCTGCTCCCTGCAAATTCACGGCAGACCATCCGGGTAGCATAATCGCCTGGATAAGGTGCCGATCAATGCATGACAGCTCCGGTATAGATCACAAATTGGGAGGGGCAGGGGAGTTTAAGTTGTTTAAGGGAGGAGCATCGTGGGGAAGGAGGGGGGGTGCCTTGCTTTTCCACCAGTGAAGTCTCGATGCAGGTTAGACTAGACCCAGCCATGTGGAGGTGTTTTCCAGACATGTGAAGGACCAACCCTCGTCCAGAGCGGCTGTACCCTGATCATGGGCTGGCTGACCCGGCAGGAGCACATGTGCAACCCAGCACTTTGGGGCTAGGGCTGTGCAGGGCAGGAAGCTCCATGCTCCCATCCTACACCAAGCCCTGCCTCAGCTGCACTCCTCGCACAAAGTCATGGCCCCTGCAGTGCTGGACTGCAATCACCCCTAGAAAACGCAGCCAAGTCTGAGGAGAACCAGGACCTTCCTGGGGCTAGCAGAGCTGGAAGCTCAACTCCTATCCCCATCCAAAGGAGTCCAAAAAACACCCAAAGCACCTACCCACAAAAAAAAAAAAAAAAAAAAAAAAAAAAAATCATCATCATTAGCTGTTGCTAAAGCTGTATGAGACAAGAAGGGGAGACATGGGACAGAACCCAGGGCTCAATCCATGCCACGGTCAGTAAAGCATTCACAGTCATGGCAGCAGAATGCAGCAGGCTTCACAGATAGTCCCATATGTACTTTAAGAACTTCAATTTAATGCCCACCCAGCCTGACAATAAAGTACTGCAGGAAATAGGTAGAAATAATCACAAGCAGCCAGTTGATAGATCAGAGCAAAGCCACATGCAGTCTTCATCACTGCCTCCTCCAGTGACTGGTGCTCTGAAGGGGTGGCAGTCCCAGTTCCCTGCCTGGCAAGCTCCCTGCCACCTGCTGCAATTGTGGGGAGAAGCAGAGATACAGGCAATAGCAGAGCCCACTGCTCCTGGCTTGACCTCGGTGACCGCAGGTGAGGTCACCTTGAAGGAATGGAGGAGGAAGGAATTTTGCCCAAGGCTGTAAAGTGGGCAGACACCAAGGCCTGCACTGACTTGCGTGTCTTTCGGAGGAGGAGATGGGTTACAGCCTTGCCACTGGCACCAGCCATGTGGCAAAGAAAGAAGGCACAGGGATAGCAAAGGGCTCTGCCTTCCTAGGGAGACCACAAACCATCCCCACGTACAAGATGGGGAACATGCCATGCAAACAGCAAGACAAAAGGAAGGGAGAACAGCAGATTAGGATGTTTGTCATTCTTCAAGGGCCTGCTGACTCTTGGCTCCCTCCAGGTTACCCGAGGGCCCATGCTGCCCTTTGGCACTAAGCACGCTACAAGGGGAAGGCATGCAATATGCCAGCACAGAACTGTTCACAGCATCCAGCCGCAGCTCAGGCAGATGCTGACTGAGTTGCTGTCAGCCCCGAGGTAATGCTTGTGCAGGAGAAGAAAAGGTTACCCTTGTTAGCTCTGTTTCTTCCTTCGTTCTCAGGCATTGCCATACCCATTTCTCTCTAACCAGAGGGTTTAAACAAGTATCAGCATTCTCCATAGCCCATTAGCTGAAGTCCAGGTATATATGCACTGCTTTTTCTCACAGTTAAATTAAAAAATAATTAAAAAAAAATAAAAAAAAAAAAATAATCAGTATTCAGAGAAGGTTCTACTAAGAAAAAAAAAAACCAAGTAACTGCAGTCTTGCAGGGGGAATACAAACAGAAGAGATTGCTCTCGTATTTTCTATTGGCCACTGTTCACATCTCGTTTGGTTTACTGCACAAACATTAATGGCACTGCAGAACTATTTCAGAGGAGGAAAGGCAGCTGAGCAGCATTCTTACATGCCCCACTCACAGGCGACAAGTTTCAATCTACGGGGAAGGAAGACTAGAGGGTTTGATAGCCAGTACATGAGCATAATACAGCAACATCTGACTGTGTGGTGCTATGTCCTGTCCCTCTCCCTGTTCAGCTAAGCTTGTGTTTTCCCTTGCCACCACCCCAACATACAAGAAGAACATCCCCAGCAAATGTCCTCAGCAAGGGCCAGTCCTCCTCCAAATGTTCATAGCAGCATCCAGGTGCAGGAGCCATAGAAACAGCTCCTGTTCCAGTGGGTACTGCACCCCGGTCAACTGGCTATGCTCTCACACACCCCTGGTACCCTCCAAAACCATCTCCACCCTGCACTAATCCAACTGGCATCAGATCTCTGGCAACCACAGGGATTTCTAACCTGTAGGCAAAGTTTGCTATTTCAGGATAATGCTGGCTTTGCCTCTGGTGCTGTCCTTTAGCAGTCACATTGGGGATCCTCCCAGGCAGGAGGCAAGAGCCAGGCACAGAGGAGGGATGCCCCAAGGCCCCACAGACAGAGACCCAGAGCACTGCAGAGAAGCTGCCTACAAGGTGGCTTGTTTCAATCTTTGGACAGAAAATTAAATTTATCAGCAGGGCAAGTTCTTTTCCTCTGTGACAAGACTGAAAGAAACATTTTTCTATCAAAAACCCCAACAAACAATCTACTACTAAAAGAAGTGATTTACACACACCCCCCCTCGATAAGACCCAAGCTTCAACAGAAGAGAGGGACTTTGTGCAGCCCCACATGCAGCCTGCCAGAGGGATGTTTCTCTTACCCAGTGTTAGGGGAAAGGTCTGGCACAATGGGAAGCCTGCCAGTCCAGCACCCACCCAGAGACTTTTCCCATCATCCATCCATCACCCTACAGAGATGCATCTGACTGGGGTCATCTACCCTCAGTCCCCAAGTGCCCACCAGCACTTGGAATTGAGCCACTAATTCAAGACAAATCCTCTCTTGCCCAACAGTTTTACTTCCACTGCTTGAGTGATACCTCGCTACCACCCCAGCCTGGCTTGTCCCTTGCTCTCAAGCTGCATGAGAGGGCTGTGCCCTCACCCAGCAGCTATGGGGCAGAGCTAGCTGCACAGCCCATTCAGCCCCAGCAGCACTGGGACAGGAAGGTGTGAGCAACAAAGCAGCTTTGCGTTTTAAGCACCAACCGTGCTGAGATTTAGTAGTACCATTAATTCTTACCAACTACACGGGATGTCAGCAGCTTTAATTCCATTCTAATGAAGTTTTAGGGGGGAATTACTTTTATTGATCTGTCCAGAGCAAACAGCCTGATTTTAGTCCAGCTCTGCCAACACCCCCTTTCCCAGCCCTCTTTTCTTTCTCCCAGCTTAGAAGAAAGGGGAGAGGAAATAAGACAAAACATCTCTTAGCTCCTTAGAAAGGTTGGCAGTCCCAAGCAGTAAGTGGATTACTTTATTGATTTTTAGCAGATCTGGGTTAGTGAGTGCTTAGTGCTGCAGAACACATGCACACACTGAACAACTTCAAGGAAACTCCTCCAGGCCCTCAGGCAAAGCAAGCATCAGGCAACTCATTTAGGGGACCACCATGGGTTTTGGGGTATGGAGCGGCTCCAACCCCTGTAACCAAATCAGTCTGTGACAGACTCCAAGAACCAGCCCATTCTCTCAAGAAATGCTGGAGGACCATACAGAGGCAGACCCTCAATTTCTACTAGAAATAATAGCAGAAGTCACTGCTTCAAATTACCGAATTCTTTTTTATCATACCACCACCACCATTATGTAAAAGGCATGACTGCCACTGTTATTTTAGGAAGGTATAGCACTGCCATGCCACATCCAGACAGGACTCAGTGCTGCTGACTGCCACCCAGCAGACACACCTTGGGAGCATCAGTCAGAGTGGGACTCCCAACAAAGCAGTGTTGATTCAAGCCAACTGAGATGCTAACATTGTCTTGGGGTCACTGACTCACCTTTCAGTTAGCTTTCCAAGGCCATTGCATGCAGCAAATATTTCAGCAGTGTGTTGGAATAACATGTCAAAGAATTCCTAATACTACTCCACCAAGCCTTTTGGGATGATGGTCTCTGGAGCCAGACCCTAAGCATGTGAAAGCCTCTCCCATCCTACCCCAGAACCAGAGAAGCCAGAGAGTAAATAAGGTCTCTTATCCTTGCACATTGTACTGAACAAGGAAAACCCCAAACAACACCAAGAATCCCATCAGTCCTCCATCCCATCTCTGTTTAAAGGCAGAGGCATTCTTTGGTCGTGCATGTGGCAACAGCATAAGCAAATAAAAAGGTTGTAGCCCTCAAAACCTTACCGCTGTACATACATCTTCCTCCTGATGCTGCTTCAGAGCTAGAGAGTACCTGAGAAGACTCACTGCCCATGGGTTGCTGATGTTAGACCTCGAGCTCCCTTCACACTGCTAGTGAAGTGCAAAAGGGACTACCAGGCTGAGTGCCCCAGGAGCCAAAATACCCATTGCTCTCCCTGCATGCCAGTGAGGGAGGACACACGGACACCAGATTACATGCTCAGGGCCAAACAGGAAGTCAGTAGCAGAGCAAGGACTTGAAGCTGGGTTTCTCAAGGCTAACTGATGGACTTACCCAACCTCACCTGTCTGCTGCAGGGTGGCATTGGCCTGAGGCAAAACAGTCACCAAAAGCAAGGTGGCCTTATGATTCCCTGGAGATGGAAGAGATCTACTGCATCAGCCTTTCCTCACCCAGCCCTGCCCTTTCTCACTGCTGTCTCTTGTAAAGCAATAACTACAGACACCAGGCTAATGAAATTAGCCCCAGAGCCCCATCGGGCTAATGCAATTACCAGCAACAGCATATTCAAACAGCAGCACCTCAAACACACCTGCAGTAACACAGCCTGCCTTCTGTTTCTACCCAGGCCTTCC